CATTCTCTACTGACCAACAGCACTTTAATGCTATAAATTTGTCGGAGTGAGCCATTCTCAACCCTGATGTGTCTGGCAGATTGGTAGCAATCAGTGTGAGAGAGAAGAGTGGCATCATTCATGAGTTTGCAAACCATAATTGGTGCCCTCTCAGCTCTATGATGCAGACACTAAATGCAGCCCTTACCGAGTAACAATCTAAAACATTAGAATCAGGAGAGACACTTCCAGAAGCTTTGTGTTCTGCTTCAGAGAGGTTTCCCCAAATGGTCATCATGTATACAAAATGTAACTTTCTAATATTCTGACTACTAGCGAGGGAGTTAACAGAACACTAACCCTCACTGGCCTACTTGAAGGTATTTGAGTATTAGTGAATAAACTGGAAAATACTGGATACGTCTAAAAATGTACAATTATCTTATATGCCACAAAGGACAGCAAATGGTGGTAATCATATGGTGATTCACAAGTCATTATGTAAAAGTCAATTCTGTGTTTAGGATGAGGCTAACTCAGTATAAATGAAGTGCTGACGGGGTAACTGAAGGAGAGTGATTTCCTTACTTTTTTCTTTGTTTACCAATAATCATTTGCATGTTGCCTGAGCACCCTCATGTGAAGACTAGCACTGACCTAGACATATAGAATAGGGGAATAAATACTGATCCAGACAGAGTTTTTGGGAAAGGGAGAGTATAATTATTCTCATTGTCTGAGAGAAGGTTATCAAAAGGGCTAGAAGAGGGAAAAGAATAGAGGTTGAGATAGGCTGTGTAGATAGCTCAGTTCAGAGGGCCCTGGATTCAATCCCTAGTACTGCATGACACATACATACATACATACACATATACATACATACATACATACATACATACATACATACATACATACATACTATAGACAGACAGACACAGATACAGACGCACACAATCATACACTTATCTGGGATGGGGGCAAAATACTTCACTAAATCTTCAACTTACGCAAGCTATCTCCCACAACTTTCTCAGCAACTGCTGAACCTTTCTCTAACCTCAAGGTAAAAATGTCCTGCTGTGAGGCTATTCATTTTACAGTTCCTTCTTAGGATCTATTCTTAAGAGAGGTACTTGGTTCATCTTATCTTCTACCTGCCAGATTTTCATTAAAGAGATTCTTTAGGAGCATGCCACAGGTGTAATGAGAAAAAACATTCTGAGAAGTAGAGTTTATATTTCAATGTCAAAGGCATGTTAGGATTGAAATAAACACAAACCAGGCATAGGCAGCATTTGAGGAAGCTGCAGACAAAGACAAAATGGAGGAGTTGGGGGTTGGGGAAAGATTTCTTTTTCACTCCCTTACCAACATCACAAAATGCAATTTTTTTGTTTGCTTTTTATTATTATTATTTTTCAATATCATGAGTTAAGATATGATTATAAATTAAGCCTCTTGCTTTGTCCCACCTAGTCTGCATTCTCTTCCTTGCTTAGAGAGCTCCAAATGAAACTAATTGTCATAATATCACCATAAGTAGTAGTAATTAATAATAATAATAATAAATTGTACATGTTCAACTCACAGAATACCACCAAGAATGGCCACTGTATGTTTGCAAATAAAGAGATGAAAGAATCCTTTGTTTTAAAAACATTTATGTAAACCAGATGAAAAATTAAAACAGTGAGGAAAAAATTAACGAAGAAAATTTAACATGCCAATAAATTCAATATATTATTTTCAAATATCAGCTCCATAAATGAAACTCTGATGAAGTAAAATTAGCACTGCCAGGAAAGCACCCCAAACCAACCCTACAACTGAAAAACTCCAAGCTGCTTAAAAAACATGATACCAAGCTGAGAGAGATTGCTTACATAAGAGGGTCCTGCCATGAATGCATCTTGGGGCTGCTTACAAATGGGGTGCAAACTGATTTGGCTATTTGACATTGGGTTCTAATGACTGGGACCCAGGAAGAACTCACTATATATTTACTGACTCCTTCTCAATATTACTGATTCTGAAAGCTTATAGTCAGAAATCATTCATTGATCCTAAAGCAAAATTTTGCTTAACAAGACAAACTATATATTATATGATAGCCGGGAAAAAATTCTTGGTAACTAGGAAGGAGAATGGAGATGAAATGAGAACTGATAAAATGCCATACTTAGGAAAAAATAATAATAGGCAAGACTTTCCAGTGCCAAAGCACTACTCAAATAATGCCTGTTATGGATTCTGGAACAAACAAGTAAAATTAGTAATTTTTCACTCTGCTTCTAAGTAATTTCTCTAAACCCGAATTCAACTTCTTGCATAGGCTCTTTAGGGCTCTAATTGTAAGAATCAATGTTTACCACAGTATTATGCTGCAAAGTTGTAGTCTTGTTTCATCACCAAGAGAAAACAGCGCCATAAAATAGCATCAGGCTTGTAAACAAGACCCATTACTTTTATTTTTCCTTCTGTTCAAAACATATGCTAAACTAAGGAAAAAAAAGAATAGGACTATCTTCAGCTTCTGCTTTCTTCTCAGTAGAAACGCTGCTGATGTATGACACAGTTACTGCTTCAGTTAGCAAAGCTAAAAAAGTCTCCCTCATATAATTAATGTTCATAACACACAAGTGAAAAAAGGAGGAACCCAAAAAGTTATGAGAAGCTTCCAGAATTTTGAGATTTTAAACTCAAAATCAGCATACAGTGCATGCCACCTAGAGGGAATGAGCTCTGGGCTTGCCTTTAAAAAGCCTTTGCCTTTCATCCAGTTATGCCTGTAAAGTAAGGGGAAACAACAGAAAGTAAGAAAACAGTTCCATTTTAGAGGTTGTTGGCATGCAGATTAGATCAGATGAATAACTTCAAGAAAATGATTCAAATGATTTTTCTGGACCTTAGAAACGGAGTTTGTCAACCCACTTAGTCAGAACTTCATTGACTCTAGTACATTCTCACTAATTGAGCTCAATAATTTAAAGAGTGTCAATGAGGCTTCAAAGTATAATACTCATCCTAATAGAGAAGGTACCTCTCCCTTTAAGAACTGAGATAAAATCAGAATACTTACTATATAAGTGCTAGAAAGTGTTTTTATTCACTGGCTGGAAATTCAGACTGAATTTTCAAAACTACATCTTAAACCAACACAGAGAATTGCTACTTTCCTTCTTGTGAAGTGAGCAAGTTGGGGTGGGGTATCCAGAAGGCCAGATGGCTTAGGTGGCTAGTCTTAGCATCATGCTAGGTTAAGAGGCACTTTAGATAGTCCCACCCAAAGAAAAGTTTGTAGTAAAAGAGGGATTCCGTTCTCTAGTTGACAATCCTAGAAAAAATTAACCATACTGAGTAAAACTATTCTCATAAAATGAAGACCTTTTATCCCACAGTAAAAAGCATCACAAAAATAAACACTCTAACTTAACTGGAAAAGATCTGATATCAAATGAATCTTTGAAAATCCTGTAAGACAAACCTTCAAAACCAAATAGAATATAAGCCGTGATAAGAAACTGTTTCTTCAACAACTCAGAAAAAGCATTTTTTTGAAAATCTATCCTCTTGGGCACTGCCCTAACAACCAAGAACAATAAAATATTAGAAATTGTTAGAATCAAGTCACCAAAATTATAGTATATCTAACAAAGAGATTGGGGGGGGATGTCACAAATAAAAGAAAACAGTTTGAGAAACAGACAAATTCATGGGGAGCATGAGCACCTCAGAAAAACCAAACCTAGGCATTAATTACTCAGTCAATACTCATCAGATGAAAAGATTATCTTAACTTAGTTGGAAAACTTTTCAACTAGTCTCTAGGAGGCTCAAGAAGCAGTAGTAAACACTTTTAATATGGCGAAATTGCCCACTACTTTTCTCCTGTCCTAATTAGAACCATGGAACAACATTATGGTTCATAGGTCACTGACAGTTCTTACTCAATTTGTTATCACGAGCAACTCATGTTTTAAAATATAAGTATGTCCTTAAAACGAAAAACGTAATGAGGTGCTTTACTCCTCCCTCCCCAGTATAAATTTCTGACCACACTCAAGCAGCAGGACATGTTTTACAGTTTTGTTTTGTTTGCAACACTTGTGAGTCAAAACCAAACCTGCTTAAATTGTTCGTTTACAGTACATTCTTTTCTTTTCAGGTCTAATTCAAGCCCGAAATAGAGACTTCTGATGTGTTCTAATCTACACAGAAAATAAACATATTTCAAGAAAAAACTGGCCCATATAATTACTCCCAACAGTGAACCAATGCTGAGAAATCCGTGAGAGCAAAGTTTCCCTGGTGTTTACCATGTAAGTTACCCCATGTACCTGCTTTAAGTGTGCCCTGTTGGATTCTCTAGGCTGACCTCCAACCAGAGAGCAAGTCCCTGGTTGCTTCCTGGGAAGAAATTGCACTTCTTCACACCGGGGCCCTCAGCAACTAGACGCGGCATTTCTTTGAGAACTGAGAAATTTTATTATCTCTCTTTGAAGGATACGGGCCGAAATCAGGTTTTTACTTTTATTTTCCTTTTATTATGCCAAGACCATGCACGGACGGAAAGGTGAATGTTAACAAACCCATAGACAAGAAACTGCCCACGTTTCTGATCGTGTTTCTAGGACTTTGAGGAAAGGAGAGGAAAAAAAGTGAAGGGTTTATGAGCGTCATTTCTGAAAATGGCCCATGCAATTGGATTTAAGTTTAGTACTTGGAATCCTTAGTACTTGGAATATCAGAAAGATTTTAATGGGAGAATTTTAGGTGTCTGGGGGAAGTGTGGGGAAGTCTCAAAGGGCACCAATTAGCACCCGGAGCGCAGCAAAGATTCCTGGGCTTAGGTGGAACTTTTCACAAGAGGACAGTCCCCAGGAGGGCTCCAGATGTAGGACAGTCCTGCCTATAGAACTGACCGAGCTGTTTTAGGATCCCTCCGAATGTTCTCTTGGGCGGGTTGCAAACTGCTGCTCTGTGCCCTTGGTTAAAAGGCGGCATTTTTGGGAGAAACTTACCGCATGTCTCCATAAGGTCCGGAGTAGTTCTCCATCCAAGGTCCCATCTCACTTTTGATGCAACTAGGACTGGGATAGGGTACTCTGTTCACCACTCCACTGGGGTACCACACTTCAGAGGCAGAGAAGTCACCCTCCTGGCTCGCCAGCCCCTGAGGGGGGCGAGTGTAGCCATAGGGGGCAACAGGCCCGGCCTCGCTCGGGCTGCTGCTGCCGCCCCCGCCGCCTGGCCCATATAATTGGCCTTCTTCTGCTGTGAAGAGAGTGTGCCAGGAAGAAGAGGCGGTGGCTGGGGGCGATCCAGTGCTGGGTCCGGCTGCACTCCCTCCGTGTAGGCTAGCCAAGTCCCCATATCGGCATTGCGCCGCGGCTGCAGCCCAGGGGCTGCTGTAGTCCAGAGGGTTCTCCAGCTTGATGCGGGCGTGTGGATGGATAGGCGGTTGGGGGTGCGGCGGCCCGGTTAGAGCCAGCGGAAAGTTGTAGTAGTCGCGATTCTGGTACGCTGCTGCCTCATCCACTGCTCCGGATTTATACAGAGACAGAGTGGACGGGATCTCAAGTGTCCCAGAGCTACCTGCTTCGCTGCTGCCAGAGCAGCCCAGGCTCTCGCTTTCCAGCCCTTTGGCATAACCTCCCTTGAAAGGGGAATACTCAGCAGTCTCTTCCGTGCCTTTGCCAGGGCCCTCGTCCAGGGGAAGACCTTTGCATTCGGCTAGTGGCGCACAGGGAGCGGGACGCACCGCGGGTGGACCTCCCAGGAGCGACGCGTACATGCAATCTCCCCGAAGCTGTTCCCCTGGACTCAGATGTTCCAATGCTTCCACACCCAATCCCATGGACACAGACACTGCTTTACACAACTCCTTGGCACTGTCAGATATGGTCGAATTGCCCCCTAGGTAACTATCCTTGGAGGAAGAGGGAGCCCCAGTGGCCTCCCTTGCTCTCGCGCTGCTGCCACTGCCTTCGGATATTACCTCCTGCTGCTGTTGCTGCTGCTGCTGTTGCTGCTGCTGCTGAAGAAGTTGCATGGTGCCGGCCTCACTCAGGATGTCTTTAATGTCGGTGGAGCAGCTGCTTAAGCCTGGGAAAGTGGGGCCCAGCAGGGACAACGTGGATGGGGCAGCTGAGTCATTCTCATCTGGAGGAGCTGGTGGCTGCTGCGGCAGCCCCTTGCCAGGAGCTGTGGCAGTCCCAGGCTCTGGGAGGCAGCCGCTCTCAGGGTGGCCCTCGGAGGCTGACTGCTGCTGTGAAGGTTGCTGTTCCTCCTCCAGGGCCAGGTAGCCTGTGGGGCCTCTGATGTGGGCTTGAGGAGAGCCATCCTCGCCATGCTGCTGCCGCCGCCGCCGGGGGCTAGTCTCTTGCCGCTGCTGCAAACAGGCGCCGGGAGGTGCTATGCTAGCGGCCTCAGGGTGCCTGGGGCCCGGGTTCTGGATTGCTTCGCGCACGCTCTGGAACAGATTCTGGAAAGCTCCTCGATAGGTTTTGGACGGGGGCCGTGGGTAGACCCTTCCCAGCCCTAACTGCACCTCCATCCTTGAGCTTGTCTGTATCTTTCACTGAATTCCCTTATCCTGTCTCCTCGTCTCTTGCTCTGAAGAGTTCAACTGACTGATGATGTAGTAGCTGCAGCTAGCTGCCCACCTGCGGGAAGCTCCGGGGAAGAAAACTTGCAGGAGGAAAAAAAAAAGCGCCCAGATAGCCTCAAAGTCTCCTGTAAAGGAAGGCACGCACTAGACAGGATCTGCCCTGCTAGTTCCACAGTCTGTCCCTAAATACTTGAAGAACAGATTAAAAGATGCTCAAAGCTTGACGTGGGGGGAAAGGAAAATCCTCTGCCTTCCACATGCAATGTCCACTGAAGCAGGTGCAAAGGAGAATTGGGCTATTTTCCTTTTGTTTTCTTTTAGCTTTTGTTTTGCTTTCGACTACTGAAGCCCTGACTGCCTTTTCATCTTTTGATTTCCAGCTCCACACACACAGGGTGAGGGGCGGGCAGGTGGAGGTGCAGGGGGAGAACCTGGAATCAGGGGCTTTCCAGGCGTGCTGTTGCTCCTCAGTCTCTGTGCTCTCAAAAGCCTTCTTTGCAACAAGCTCGCCTGCTCCCAGCCAAAGGGAGTTACCTCTGTGCAAACTGGCTGGCAGCGCTGGGGGTGTAGGGGAGAGGGTTGGCCAGGAAGCCTGCCTAGTCAGCTCCCAGAGAGGGGACCTGGGAGGGGGTAGGGGGTAGAGGGGAGGATGACAAAGGCAGCTGTAGTCCTACCCGACACTTTTCTCGCTTCCTCTGAGTCTCCCGCAGCTTTTAGAAACTTCACCGAAGAGGAAAGGGCAGCTCCGGGGCGGCGGCTTCGAAGCCGCCGCGCTGCAACAGGCGTCGGCTGTAGCTGAGCTGGGGCTGGCGTGGTCTGTCCCTTTAGCTTCCGTATGGCACTGGAGTGGCTAGCTCAGTCTTTCCCCCTCTGATGCCCTCTCAGCCTCCAGATTTGCTCCGGACCCTCTGGCTTTCCCAGCAGGCTGGCTCCCAGGGATCTCCGAGGGGGCGCTGGGAGGTGGAAAGCAAATGCAACAGTTTGTGAGTCGGTCCCGCCCCCGCGGGCCGGCCTCCCTGCCTTCCCACCTCCTTTCTCTCTCCCCTCCCCTCCCCTCCCCTCCCTTTTCCTTTTCTCCGCTCCTCTCACCACAAGCCAGCGCAGGCTGGCTTTAAAGAACGAAGTGCTGGCGTAGTGTGGGTGAAGGCTGGAGTGACTCGCTGTAGCCTTTGAGGACCCTTCTTCCCTAAATACCCTTGTTTTCCGGAACCAGGTTTTGGGCTCCAGACTAGAAGCTTTAATTTGGAGTGATTTTTAACAGACAAGTCTACCGGCTCTCCAGAAGGCGAGCATAGGCCCGATTTCATTGCTAAAGCGAATCCCAAAACAGTCTTGGAGGTGGAAGAGGGAGAAAGGGGCACTAGAAGTACCAGCTACCAGTAGCTGTGAGGGGTTCTTTCCAGGGTCCATCAGCACAAGCAGAAGGGGGAGTCCCAACAAATTAAAGAACAAGCTGCAGGCATGCCAACTCTTGCAGAAACCTTTGAGATTCTCCAATACGGTAGACAGGAAATCTTGACACCATGCCATTTGCCCTGGGATTTCTGGGCCCAAGAAATCAGAGGTCATTTCTACCTTATTTCCTGCCTTTCTTCCTGTTGAGGATTACCTGTAACTGACTCTTTTCACTTCTCCAGACTTGCAAAGGCAAAAAAAAAGGAAAATAAAAATAAAAATATCACTTAGACAAGTGTGCAAACACAAATGTCAGAAACACTGCGCAAATGGACCCTTGGTTTTGTCTAAAGGTTTGTTTGTATAGATGCCTTGAGATTTCAAAATTGTTTGCTCTTGAATACTCCTGTCCTACATAGAGAAATTACTATGGAGGGTGTTCTTTCTTCTGATGGACAAGTAGGAGTAAAAGTAAGTGAGCAACAGAGAGTGAAGGGTAGACCTACACAGGTTTCCTTACAGAAAGGCTGTAGACCCACCCTCTCATTCATAAATAGCTTATGCCTCTGAATCTGTGGAAGGTCTCTGTTCCAAAAGACACACAAAGTTTGTTTTGTGAGACTCACATTGTAAATATTTGTTTTTATTTTTAAATTCTTTCTTTTGAGGCAGGGCAACATTTGTTTTGTACAGCAGACAAGTCTTGAACTCATGAATTTCCTGACTCAGCTTCCCAAATCCTGGGGCTGGTGGATTATGCCATCACTCCTGGTATTTCCACGTTTACAGGCCTCTACAGTGAGGGGAAAAGCTTTATCCTGTGTACTGAGAATTTCCCCTGGCCAAAGGAGTGAGCTCAAACCTCAATGGGGAAGAGAAGGCGATAGATCAACTCTATTTCACAAATGAACAATCGAATCGAGGGTATTGTTGTACTCTCTATATTAACAGAATGGAAAGCAGCTTGTCATTCTTTTGCTACATTAATTGTACTCTTATCAGGTCCATATTACTTGAGAAATGGTCATTACAACCTCACATCTATCAAAGCTTTTTCACTATTCTAGTCAAAGGGAATTGAATCAACTGGCAAGACGGCAGAACAGAACGAATATATGTATCAGAGCCAGGAGAACTATTTGGCTATAGATTGACAGTGGAAGTGGCCACTTATCGAAGTGAATGAGCAATGACAAAAGAAAAGAAGGACGTATGTAGAAAAGAGGCCAGGAAAAATTAATGTGAGAAATAACTCATCTTTCAAAAAGTGAAAACACAATAAATATTCCAACCAAAGAATGAAATAGTATGAAGTTTATGTTGCTTCCACAGCATCAAAGTTGTCTTAACAGATTTCCTCACAGAAAATTGAAGCGAAAATGCCTCCTCTCAGAAGGCTGCTGCGACAGTGAAAAGAGATACAATGTATAAAAGAGATTTGAGAATAGGGAAGCGTTCCGAAAGTTTGAAGGATGTCCTTTTACACACACACATACACACACACACACACACACACACACACACACACACACACACACACACACACACACACTTATGGGTAAAGGCCAAAGGACTACAGTGGATGCCTGCATGTTGTTCCTGGGAAGGCACCCAACATGTTTCTTTTTACAAGGTCTTTCACTGGCCTAGAACTCATTAAATAGGCTAAGCAGGTTGGTCAGTGAGTCTCAGGGATCTACTTTTCTCTGTCTCAGCGGTGTTGGGGTTCAAAGTGTACAGTTCCATTCCCTGGCTTTTTGTTTACATGTGTGCTAGGGATCAAGCTCGGGCCCTCATGATTGCCACACAGGACCTTTCCAGATTGAGCTGTCTTCCCAATCTTTTTTTTTTTTTAAAAAAAAACTTCTAAAGTGAAACAAACTCTCACCAGTTATCATGAAGGAGAAAGTTAACTACTGTGATCACACTGTGGGCATATCCATTATTTGAACTTTGTACTCTGATCCCCTTCTCAAATCTTGTTTTCCCACTTCTGTTTTTACGATCAAGAGACAACTGCTGAAGAATATGACAGAAATTAGTACTTACACAATGTTTTTCTCTTGCTTCCTCCCACTCTTTTTTTTTCCTTTGAAATATTTTTAGCCATTGAATAGAATCCATGGTGTTCTCCCAGGTCATTTGAGTTCATAGTAAGTATCTCTAACAGATTCAGGGGGCTTTTAGAATGAAATTTTCCCTAGCCTTTGCTCTGGAAAACTAGAACAAGTTAACCTTAGAAACGTGGTGGGTATTTGCATAGTCTTATGAGTATATGCTGACATATTTCACAAATCTGTTTACTTCTCTAAATCTGGCTGCTTTCAATACAGTTCAAGACACTCTCATTTCCTACCTGGACAGCTCTTTCTTTGCCAATCAATCCTTCATTGATCAGGCAAATGGATTATATATGTAGCTTTATAAAGATAGAACTTACATGCAATGAACCACATACATTTAAAGTTGTACAAATTTCTAATTTTTGAAACTTGTCAATACGCATCTACAGATAATAGTATTTCCTTTCAAGACACCAAACTGATGTATATGAAAGCATTCTTTTGTGCTTATTTGGGCTTCTTCTCCCATGCCTCCCACTCAGGCAGCTGATGATTGATCTGTCAATATAGATTAGTTTGCCTTTTTAACCCAGAATTTACAGCAATGGAATCATAAAATATGTACTTTTTAGTCCTCACTAAGCCTAATGTTTTGATATCCATCCAAACTCTTATATGGATTACTACATAATTATTTCTTCTTTATTGCTAAGTAGTTTTCCATTGTGTTTCTGTATAAAAATTATTTATCTACTCACTTTTCACAAAGACATATATTCTTTCAGGATGGGGCTATTACTAGTAAATATACTATGAACAGTAATAAAAAGATCTTTTTTTGAACATATGATTTAACTTTGCTTAAATAAATAATACTCAGAAATTGATTGGGTGAGTCACAGGGCAGTTATATGTTTGCTTTTGTAACAAGCTGTTCTGAAATAGTTACACGAATTTGCATATAAAAATTTTACCAGCACTTGATATGGCCAACATATATTTAATACTAACATTTTAGTCAGGTGAATGAAGGATTCTGACTGAATTTGCATTTGTCCAATGAATAGTTATGAATAAGGTTTTATATTAGCTTATGCTTCATTTGTTCATTTTTATTTTAATTAAAATATAATTATATAATTTCTTTCCTTTCCTTCTTCCAAACCCCCATTGCACTTTTACTCACTTTCAAATATATAGCCTCTTTCTTTAATTATGATTGTTAATTAACACACACACACACACACACACACACACACACACATATATATATATATATAAAATGTTCATAAACATACAAATACAACCTGCCTAGTCTACTTCATGTGATTTGGATATACACAATTTCAGTCCACTTGATACTGGATAAATAAATAGAAGCTCATCTCTGGGGAAGATTGTTCTCTCAGTATTATTAGGTATCTGTATATGTTTGTCAAGAGATGGGACCCCTTGAGATTTCTTTGCCAGGAGGTGGTGGCACACGTGTTTCATCCTAGCAGTCGGGAGGTAGAGGCAGGCAGATCTCTGTGAGTCCGAGGCCAGCCTGGTCTACAGAGGACAGGCACCAAAACTACACAGAGAAACCCTGTCTTGAAAAACCAAAACCAAAACCAAAAACAAACAAAAAGAAAAGAGAATTCTTCATTCCATTTTTGCATGTCTATTAGTGTTGTAGTTGTCTGCATCATGTTTAAGAAGCTGTATCATGAGTGTAGCTCCTTGGTTATTTTTAGGAGGCAAAATCTCACAGTAGATTTCTTGGACCTCTGTTTTTCTGTTTGTTGGTTTTCTGTTGCTTCTTCCATTATGTTCTCTGAACCTCAGGTGCTAAAGTTGTTGTGTGCATGTAGTCATTGGACACCCCATGGTCAATTGATCTCTATATTTTTACCAGTTGTGGTTTTTCTATAACTGTCTACATCTGCTACAAAGAGAAGTTTCTTAGTTGAGAAGTGTGAGTTACATTTATGTGGATAAGTAGTATAAATATAGTTAGGAATTATGCTAGCCTAGTAGAGAAGTGATAGTATGTTCTCTAAAACCCATAACCTCACTATGCTTTGGTGGTTGGTAAGGTTTCCAGTGCCAGACATTTTTTTCCTCTTGTTGAGTGGGCCATAAGTCCAATTTTGGAGCCATTGGTTGTTATAAGTCTAACAGATTCTCAAAACAATGTACGCTTTTGCTATTGTTTGAGGTTGCTTCCCAGAGGTTTAAGGTAAATCCCTATTGCTGAAGATACTATGCACTTTAGACGCAGGACTCAGAAGATACAATCTGAATCTCACCTGAAAACCTCCTCCCTGAGAACTAACTTTCATAGTGCCAGAAGGTATTATTAAAGCTGCCAAGGAAGGGAAGCCATAAGTAGTCCTAACTACCTATAGACCAAAACAATGGTCAGCATGGAAAGATATAACTAAGGTTGTGATGGTGGAATTTGTTTATTATTTAGATGAAAATTTTCTCCAATATTTTGTTTATTTATTTTGCTCCATTTTATTTAATTTTTTGAGAATTATATGCATGAGTATTCTATTATCATGGTTTCTATCCCTCCCTCTTCCTCTTC